GTAGTCTCGATTGTAGTTCCTTGTTTTGGTTTAACCAATTAGATATTAAGGATTTTATAAGGTATCCCCAAAAAGGAACTACAATGGAGACTATAGGTATCAATGGAGCTGAGCCATGGATCCGAAGGTTGTGGACCGTTCTGGGGTAATCAAGTCCGGGCATGTGCGCTGAACCTTTGAATTCCTGGTTTAAGATGGGATCCTTCCAGGAACAGGTCCAAGCCATGCCAGAGGCTTCGGGCTCTTGTATTCCCAGGGTCTAGATGTTCATTGGGTTGCTGCCTTTAGGGTTGGCGATTCGGGGCTTTTGCTTAGGGTCTTAGCTGCCGAATGCGGGAGTCAGTTAAAGCCTTGCGTTTTTTCTTGGGAGCTGACTATTCGATGGTGTCTTCCATTCCTCTCGTTCTGATCTTCGTCAGGACCTGCTGAAATCGTGAAACACCCGCCATTTTCTTAGCAAGGACCTGTGGCAGACCGGCCGGACCCCTTGAAACTTATTCCTGAGGAAGTCCAGCCAGGTTGAAGCTACATAAGGCCTCTCCGGCTTTATCCGTCCTCAGAAGGATCCAGCATCGGAGCTTCAGTGATATGTATCATATGTATACTGTATACAACCCTTACATTCTAGTACGTATGGGCTCGCAACGCAGCATCTTGATATCGGAAGGCCTATTCTCGTCACCAAGACTATGCATCCTTTAAATCCCCGTTCGCCAAAAGCCGACATGACAACAACCAAGGCGGTGGTGAAGATCCAGCTGAGTCCTCAGAGTCATATGCATTATTTCGAAAGCACCATCATTTTCCCTCAACCATAAACCCAAAATAATTCTGTAGCCTTATTTTTCGAGCACAGCACAGGATGCACGCCATGTTCACATCAAGTCTGCTTGCCGAACAGAGCCGTACACGCACTGAGGGCCGCACAAGACTAACCTAGGCGTTCTTTTGGTTGGCTCTTAGGACTTTAACTTTTTGGGTTGCTATATGAACCATAATAAGGAGGCTAAAAATTTAACTGTTAGGAGGGGTTCAGAAGTCAGCCAAGCAACCTCTAACATCCATACTCCCTCTCTCTCCGCCTCTCTCTCTCTCTCTCTTTCTCTCTCTCTCTCTCTATCTGCATACACAAGCATATAAAGATGGTACATGTATATGTATAGTATAAGCACATACATGTATGTCTGTATACGCATACATGAACATACATACATACATACATCCATGCATACATACACTTTCGCACACGCACGGCCTCAAACACATGTCGTTGGTGTTTCGATTTGCTGCTGTTTCCGTGAAGATATAGGAGCCCTAAGCCTTCGAATCCTTGCCCCAGAACCCCCCAAAAACCCTAAACCTTGAACCCTAAACCCTAAACCTTCCGTTTGTTTGTTCTGGAAGTTCTGAGACAGTACTTCTAGCTAATTGGCTAAACCCTAAACCCTAAACCCTAAACCTTAAACCCTAAACCCTTAAACCTTAAACCCTATAAACCCTGAACCTTA